GAAAAAAAAGAGATCTGGGCCTTGTAATAGTACAAAAAAATGTTTACCAAAGATTCCTAACTCTAAAGCTTAGGCTGTAATAACAACTATAGGAAGTGATGAAAGATATTTATCTTATTAACCTACTAAAACCAGAGGTTGGAAAATATCCCTAGTAAAAGTTATAGTTCAGATATCTTTTGAGGAAACTTCTCCAGCTATCAACAGTGGACCAGGAATGAAAGATGATTTAGGAGAAGAGAGAGAAGACATCCTGCTTCTCATCTCGCCCAAAGAAATATTTTTGGAAGCAACTCCAACTTGGAAATCTTTTCATGCTGACCTTTCAGCTAGTGGGATGCACTTGTAAGTCAGGAATTATAGCAATTCCAAAATTGGTAGGATTAATAACACAAGAGACCCCTGGGAATCCTGCTAGAATAGAAAACTATTGAAATACCAGAGATTTATTCCAATAAGCCATAGGGCTTAGTCAAAACCCAAAGTAAATAAAAAGCCCACAATAAACTTAAGTGCCAGAATAAGAGCTCAAGAAGACAGGATATAAGACATTCTAAAAAGAAAATAAAGATATTTTAAATATAATCACGCCAAAAAAAAAAAAAAAAAAAAAAAGCAAGAGGAAACATCAGTATAAACTTGGGAGACTGAGGTGAGACAACTATAAATTTCTAAGATTTGCTCATTGCCATGGAATTTTCAGAAGCCATTTTGCAAGAAAAGCAGCAATGTTTATCAAGGGTAGGCTTTGAAACTGAGTTTTAAAGTTACATATGACAATTCTGATCTATTGTCATGAATTGACCAATACCTTAAAGAAGTAAAAACCATGAAATACATGTATTTTTCTTTTTTGTTAATATTGTTTCATTGATTTTAGAAAGTGAAAGGGTGGGGGAAAGGAAGAGAGGAGAAGCATCATCGTGAGGGAGCCATATCAGTTGTTGCTTCTTGCATACACCCCAACTGGGGCAGGGAACCTGCAACCAAGATATGTGCCCTTGACACACAACACTTCGGTTCAAGTATTGATGCTCTAACCACTGACCAACACTTGCCAGGGCAATGTTTTTCTTTTTTCTATCCGCCCATTCCTCTAATATAGGAGTGGGGAATGTCTGGCCCATAGGCCATAAAGCCCGCAAAAACAGTTGGTCTAGTCCTGCCAAGACATTAAAAGTGAGTTAATTAAATGTTTGACCAAATATAGCAGGGTAATTTTTAAGTTGATAATTTTGTATGGCCCAAGAATGATGTTATAAATATCCAAATGGTCCTTGGCAAAAAAAAAGGTTCCTCACCCCTGCCCTAGTAAATTTCTGCAATTATCTGTCACTAGTAAGACAACTATTTATCTAGAGTAGAAATTACATAAAAAAAATCCTGGAATACCAACTTCATTTTGCACAGATAATGCTGGGAATTTGGTTTGGTTTATAAATCACTATAAATGTCATAAATAGGCCAGACATTTGATTATTCTAACTTTTGAGCTGTAGTACGATATTATTTTTGTATATCTTTATATTTCTCTAGAACTTGGGAGTTTTTTTGATTATCCTGATATTCCCCTAGAACTCAGGAGCATGAAATACATTGGGTTTGGGAGTGGAGCTATTACAACTTTGGAAGTGCTGAAAGAACATTGTTACAGTAGAAAACTAAGATTACAAATTCAGGATACAGTTAAACTGAACAAGATTTCTACATCTGATATTGTACAGAATAAAAATATAAATGAAAGAGATACTTTTTTGTATATGATTTAAGATTTTTACTAATAGTTAATGTCATGGAACAACAAAGATTTATTTTGTCCTCTTCTAAGAGAATTTGATCAACAATTTTACAAGCCAAGTTTTACAGTGCTGGCATTATATATTAGTGTCTAAGAAACATTTTATAATCCTGTGTGAGAAATATAGTAAACAATAGGATTATACCTAATATGAGATGAGAAATATATTATAGTCATTTAATACTACTATAAGGTTTTGGAGGTAAACTTAAAATGAAAGAATTTCCAGGAGCACCACTGAGACATTTTGGGGGTGGGGGTTGAAACAGCTAGCACCTTAACTCAATACTTCCCCTTGGCCTAAAGTGCTTTGCTGCGTATTAAGTATGGTCAGCTCCAACAGAGTTAGGTTTTATAAAAAATAAAATATCCAAAGGAAAGATATGTACACATATAACACCTTAATAAAAAATAAAAATAAAAATAAAAAATAAAATATTGCCCGGCCAGTGTGGGTCAATGTTTGAGCATCAACCCATGAACCAAGAGGTCATGATTCAATTCCTGGTCAGGGCACATGCCTGGGATGCAGGCTCGATCCCCGGTGATGGGTGTGCGGGAGGCAACCTCTTCCTCTCTCTGAAACCATTTTTAAAAAGAAAATCTTGGGGATTGAAATATCCAACTCAATGGTCCCAGGTGGATCTTAAAGATTGAAAAAATTGTCTTTCAAAATAACAAGCAAGAATTCTATGCAAATCTCTGATGTTGCTATGAGCTGGTTAACAATACCCATTACAGTACTTGTCTAATTACTGAACCTACTGATCAAAAAGAAAATTATTGTGATTATTCAAAGAGAATTAACCAGCATGTTCTATCTCCCTCATATGACTCCCTACTCCCTCTAAGGCAAGCTCTGTAATATTTATCTAAGACAATGTCACAAAGAGAGAGTAGTAGGGTTCAGCAGTGATGAAGGTAGAAGTTTGAAAGGAAAGAAGGGTTAAATGTTCTTCTTGGTTCATTCTTCCTTCTCACATGAACCCCTAAAGACCTGAAGGGCAAACTATTAAGATGTTCAGTAGAAAAGAATCAAGGAGGTCAGAACACAGTTGACACTTTAAATAAAAAAGGCTTTGAGGATCCCAAGAGCTTTGTCCAGGGCAAATGACCAGACAAGAATCTGGAATAAAAATGCGCCGGGACCGGTTTGGCTCAATGGATAGAGCGTCGGCTTGGGGACTGAAAGGTCCCGGGTTCGATTCCGGTCAAGGGCATGTACCTTGATTGCGGGCATATCCCCAGTAGGGGGTGTGCAAGAGGCAGCTGATCGATGACTCTCTCTCATCGATGTTTCTAACTCTGTCTCTCTCCCTTCCTCTCTGTACAAAATCAATAAAATATATTAAAAAAAAAAAAATGCAAGCAAAGAATAGGGTGTACATGGACCAGGAATATTCCTGCATTGAAAGGTGCTTTGTGGGCAGGAATAGAATAAGTCAAGATCAGTGATTTCAGCTTCTAGAACAGATCATCAAAGCTTATTTACAAGTCAAGATTACCTACCTATGGAAATAGAAATTACACTTTGGTCTTATAAGATTGCAAGATATAAAATAAAAATTGTAATTTTATAATTCAAGTAACAAAGTATTTTTAATTCAAAAGCCAAACTTTAAATATAAGCATTTGCATAAATGACATCTTACAGCAGTCACCAAAATGAGAAACTGTACATGAAGTATCATTAAATCAGTGCATAGCCTATAGAAATTGATACGATATGATTAAAACTTCAAAAGGAAAAAGAGCCCTAGCCGATATGACTTAAAGGTCAGGACCGAAGGGTCCCGGGTTCGATACCGATTAAGGGCACATGCTCAGGTTGCGGGCTCGAACCCCAATAGGGGGTGTGCAAGAGGCAATCAATGATTCTCTCATCATTGATGGTTCTATCTCTCTTTTCCTTTCCCTTCCTCTCTGAAATCAATAATATATCTAAAAAAAGAAAAAGAAAAACCCACTGTGACAATTTTTTTCAACTCTATTTTTTTTAAAACCTGGTATTTTTAGTTTTGCATTCTCCCTAAAATGAGTCAATGAATAAATGCTAACTAAGTTCTTATTTCTCTTTAAAATAGAATTTAACTTTCTTTAGTTTACATAACAAAGAATAAATAGAATAATACTGTCTAGGCTGTCAAATTACAGCGGGGAGGGTAGGGAGATCTGGAGGGAGATCTCCGGACTTGTATACATGCATATAAGGACTTGTATACATGCATATAAGTACAACCAATGGACACAAAACTCTGGGGAGGGAGGGTATGTATAGGGGGGGTAATGTTAAAATATGTACACAGATAATAATTTAATAAAAAAAGTAAATAAATAAATAAATACATGAATATTGTGCAAAGGGAAAAAAAAAAGAATAATACTGTCTAGGAATGGAAACATATTATCTATTATAATAGGTCAGCTATTTAGGGAATTAGTTCTGGATGTCACATCTGAAAACATACAATAAGGAGATTCTGCCCAAATGTCAAATTTATTAAACTACCATGTGATAAACATATTCAAATAAAAATGAAGTTAGGAATATTTTGCCTGAATAATGTAAATAAGGGGAAAGACAAAATGGGGAAAAGAGAGCCTCTCTCAGATTTGAAGATGATAATTAGAAGAAACATGCTGTTGTGAAGCACCTGGCACAGCACCTAACATAGAGTGAAGTACACTGTAAATATGAGTCTCTATCTCTTCTTATATGAATTACAACTTTAACACCAACTGCAGAAGTTACAGAAATTTGAATTCAAAATCTAAGAAACTGAAGAGATCAACTGAAGGACTTGTATGCATACATATGAGCATAACCAATGGAGGAAAAACTAAGGGGAGGGAGGGCATGTTTAGGAATGGGGGTAGAGGGGATTGGTAAGGTATGTACACATATAATATCTTAATTAAAAAAATTTTAAAAATCTAAGAAGCTGGAAATAGAGATAATTGATAATGAACACAGCTGCCTTAGAAAACACTGAGTTCTCAGCACTGGAGGTAGAGATGAGGCTTAGGTATTCTCTGCCAGGGATGGTATAGAGGAAATAATTCCTGATTTGAGTAAGAGTTTGGACCACGTGACCTCTAAGGTTCCTTCTAACTCCTTATAATATTGAGGTAAACACTAGGGAAAAGATCACTATCATTTTCCTCTTTCCTCAAGTATGTCACTTAATATAGGTTATCTTACCTATGAGATTCTTGCTCTCCTTTCATTTTCTCTACTTTTGTTAACATATCATCAACTTTAAATGTTTTCCTAGAAGAAACAGATAAACAAAATAATCACTTCTCAACTGGGAAAAACAAACATGTTACACTTTATTGTCACTATAATAGGCAAGTTGGAAATCTGATTTTATTATTTTTAATAAGATAAATTATGGTTAGCCATAACAATGCATAATACTGAGACAGTTTATGTTATAATATAGCAGACAAGCTTTCAAGTCCCATCTCAAATGCTAATTTTTCCATGAAATCTTTTGTAATTATTCCCAAACCTTAATTGAGGTTATTTCTCCTTACCTATGGCACATAGGTTTTTAATTATTTTAACACTTAGTATCCTAAATGTGAAATTTTATAAATATTTTATTTCTCCTGCTATATTATAAGCTCCTGATGGAGAGATTGCTTTTTTCCAAGCAAAGTCATGTTTGGCATAGTGCCTTATACTTAGTAGATATTCAAGCATCTGTTGGACTGAGCCAAACAAATGCAAATTATGTATACTTTGAAAACATTCATCCTTTTATTAAGTAACCTGACAAATATGTGCTAGTACTATCACATAAAAATGAGTATTCTATAAAAAATATATCAAGTTAACATCCTCAAAGATTATTAGTAATGGCTAACATTACAGAATATCATATTAAAGAGATGGTTATCATCATCATGAAAAAATTTTAAAGTTTAAGGGACATACCCATATCAAATCATAAAAATATTACTAGCTTTTAAGAGAGTAATTTTTCTACAAACTAGAAACTTAAATTAAGAATTTAAGAATGCAATTTAAGAATTAATTCTAAAACAAGCCTAATCTTAAGCTAGTTTTCTATAAATGTTCTAAAAATAGAGGCTAAAAGTCTAAATCCATATGTAACATGTTAATTGGAACAAATATTTATCATCATACTCATGCACTCTCTTCAAATTTAGGACTTGAAAAGTTTAATGTATTCTGCATTAACTACTTTGTAAAGCTTGAATTCAGATACTAGAAACTACTAATACCCTCAATTCCTCAAAATCAGCTATTCTACACAATTGCTATAATAAAAATTATCAGTAGAGAAATGTTAATGTATATGTGTTGCAGTAAAATACAGATAGGAAGAACAGAATTGATGGGATATATAGTTCAGGTGAATAAATAGCCTCCATTAACAAAAGACCTTTTTTAAAAAAATAAAAAATAAAAGCTTCTCTCTTTAACTTTAGTTACTGAAAACTTCATTAATATAGTTTCATCCAATAGAGTATAGTAACAAGTACTTTATGAAGGAGGGCAATACATTTTCAATCTCCACAGATAACGGAGAAGAAAAAACGTAAGTTTCCTCTAGGCTAATTACAAAGATATCATAAATACTGAGCCCTTGCTGGTTTGGCTCAGTGGATAGGGCATCAGCCTGCTGTCTGAATGGTCCCGGGTTTGATACGGGTCAAGGGTACATACCCAGGTTATAGGCTCCGGTAGGGGGAGATCAACAATTACCTCTCATCATTGATGTTTCTCTCTCGCTCGCGCGCTCGCTCTCTCTCGCGCGCGCGCTCTCTCTCTCTCTCTCTCTCTCTCTCTCTCTCTCTCTCTCTCTCTCTCTCTCCTTCTCCCTTCCTCTTTATAATCAGTAAAAAAATATGTATATAAAATAAACAAATACTGAAATGTACTATTGAGGAGAGTTGTAAAACTACTAAAAGTTTTTTTTAAACAATATGTTAATGTAATGATTAAGATGAGATTCTATCTGTTGGGAATAAAAAAGACTAAATCACAAAGTTCATCTCTTCCAAAATTATGGTGTTCTGCAAAAGAGTACTGGTTATTAACCACCATTTGAAACAGGTAAGATCATAAAGACAACCCATTCCTCCTTGAAAAAAACAACAACCCATAAGCAACTATATCCATAAGCAACTTTAACACTTAGTATCCTAAATGTGAAATTTTATAAATATTTTATTTCTCCTGCTATATTATAAGCTCCTGATGGAGAGATTGCTTTTTTCCAAGCAAAGTCATATAATGTTTGGCATAGTGCCTTATACTAATACTTGTTGGGTGCCCCAGCACCCAAACAACAAGTATTTCTGTTCTTTAGAAAGGTACCACTACTTAGATCAGATATAAAAGGGAAAATAGTTACTATCAAAAAGTCATCCAAGAAAAGTATTTTTAAATTCAAGAAATTTTAGGAAATCTTCTTGGGAGGATTAAAAAACAGCTAACATAAAACTGTAAAAGGATTCAATAAAAGATGTCCTTCTCCTCACCAGTATTCCACGTTGTCAGTGTAGTGTTAGCCTACAGTTTGAATATATCTATGAAGTGAAAAGTACAAGGCTAGCTCTAAAAACATTTTGAGCAAAGGGATAATACTAAAAGCAATTTAGTAAAAGGAGTTCCAAAAAACCCCCAATTTAAACAAAGACCATAATTACTGAGCTAAGTACCATCCTCACACCAACTACTTTGGACAGGACAGCATTCATTTAAAGATATAAGTTGTAGTGTAATTTGTTAAAGATCAGTCTTTATGCTCTGGCCAGTTTGGCTCAGCGGTTAATGAGCATGCAACCAGGGACCAAAGGGTTGCAAGTTCAATTCCTGATCAAAGGCATATACCTCTGAATCTGCCCAGGTTGGGGTGTGAACGAGATGCAACCAATCAATGTATCTCTCGCACATTGATGTTTTTCTCTCTTTTTTCCTCCCACATCCCTACTCTATCTTGGAAAAAAAAAAAAAAAAAATGGAGAAGATATCTTGGGGTGATGATTAAAAAAAAGAAAATTTGAAAAAATGAGTCAATGTCTTAGATAGGCCAGGAATATACAAAAGAATTAAGTGATTCCTAATGCATTTTCCCCCCTAATGAATTCTTTTGTATGGAAATAACAAAGTGGAATTTATGTTTCTTGGCTGGCAAACTGCTTCAAAACTTCCCCAAAAGGTAATGTTTACCTATAGGGTAATAAGTTTAAAAACTGCCTCCACCATTAGCAGATAACAGAAACATATCCCACGAAACAATCAAATAGTCTAACATGACAAGAAAATTATGAAGTTAGGTTTTAAATAAATATAGTTTTTATCCATTTATGGGTTAATTCTAATTTATTTTGTAAACACTTAATCATTTTTAAATATAAATTAGGCAACATCCTAGATGATAACCCAGCCAACCTTCCATATTAAAAATATTACAGGAACGCCTGGCCAATGTGGCTCAGAGGTTGAGTGTGGTTTGATTTCCTAATCAGGGGTTGGAGGCTCAATCTCCAGTGGGGGATATTCAGGAGGCAGCTGATCAATAATTCTCTCCCATCACTGATGCTACTATCACTCTCCCCGCTCCCTTCCTTTTATTAATATGAAAAAAAATATATATTTTTTTTAAATACAGGGAAAAAATTAACCATTTAATCAATCCAGCCTACTGTTTTTACACAGCTGACAATCTGAGAGGTTTTTATAAATATTTGCAATTGATTTCATGAGAGAACATTAATTCTAAACCCCAATTATGCTGTTATCTCTCCCCACCCTACAAAAATGAGTCCCATACTGCCCACCAGTAGGCCTATATTTCAAAACACTATACTCAACCCAAAGTATTTTGAATTTCATCAATTAAAAAGTCTGAACACATTTGTTTTCTCTCTTTTTGTGTAAGTACTACATCCTACCGAATATCCTCAATTCTGTATCATAGACCACATAAAGTATTTACTCTCTGAGTCCTTTACAGAAAAAGTTTTTTGAATTCAGGCATAGAAATAATGAAGTTGACAGATAAAGAGCGGACAGATTTAATTCTGTTGCCTAACTTGCCACCCTCTTCCTGAGTATTTAAGTAAGTTTCACCTATTAAATACAATGCTCTATCTATAGATATTCAGAAATATTACCAGAAGACAAATAATTTTAACATATCAATCCTTCAAATTCACCTAGGTCAGTGGTCGCCAAAGTCATTAGTCAACAGAACCAAATATCAACAGTACGATTGAAATTCCTTTTGAGAGCCGAATTTTTTAACCTTAAACTTCTTCTAACGCCACTTCTTCAAAATAGACTAGCCCAGGCAGTGGTATTTTGTGGAAGAGCCACACTCAAGGGTCCAAATAACCGTGTGTGGCTCACAAGCCCATTTGCTGGCCATGGACGTAGGTATGTAAAGCTAAGCTAAAGTATGTCTTGCCCTAACTGGTAGTGTGTCAGCCTGTGGACTAAAGGGTCCCAGGTTCAATTCCGGTCAAGGGCATGTACCTTGATTGTGGGCATATCCCCAGTGGGAGTAGGGTGAGAAGGGGGAAGGGGGCAGCTGATTGATGCTTCACTCATGGATGTTTCTAACTCTCTATCCCTCTCCCTTCCTCTCTAAAAAATCAATAAAATATATTTTTAAAAAAAAATAAAGTACAAGTCTTGCTCTTAGGTTATAGATGGAAATCATGATGGTTGGCCCAGCCAGCATGACTCAATGGTTAATCGTCAACATATGAACCAGGAAGTCATGGTTCGATTCCCGGTCAGGCTATATGCTCCAGTTGCGGGCTCGATCCCCAGTGTGGGGTGTACAGGAGGCAGCTGATCATGATTCTTTCTCATCACTGATGTTTCTTTCTCTCTCTCTTTCCCTTCCTCTCTGAATTAATAAAAATATATTTAAAAAACAAAAACAAACAAAACACACCATGATGCTTACTTAATAACCAGTAGAAGTCTCCAAAGGAAACCTAAAAGAAGTTTACTTTAAAAGTCTATTGAAATAGCTTAATTGTTTTACCAAGTCAAGATGACAGCACCAAATGCTTAGTAAAAACGTTATTTCACTTGATATGCTCAATAAATAACCCTGCATGTAGGACAAGAAATTAGCATTCAATTACATATGCTTAATATTGAATATTATGCCCTAGCTGGTTTGGCTCAGGGGATAGAGCGTAGGCCTGTGGACTGAAGAGTATCAGGTTCGATCCCAGTCAAGGGCACATACCTGGGTTTCCAGGATGTGAAGGAGGCAGCCGATCAATGATTCTCTTTCATCCTTGATGTTTCTATCTCTCTCTCCCTCTCCCTTCCTCTCTGAAATCAATTTTTAAAAAACCTTTAAAAAATTGAACATTACAAAGCAAATATAAGCTCTGATACTTCTAGATTCTACTTTAAGACTAAATGATTAAGATTTATTTTAAGGACACTCATCCCATTACATCAAAAGTATTTCCTGGCCCTGGCTGGGTAGCTCAATTGATTAAAGAGCATCGTCCGAATAATATCAAGGTTTAATCCCCATATAAAAATCAATCAATCAATGAATAACTAAGTGGATGTTTCTCAATCTCTCCTCCCTTTTTCTCTCTCTCTAATCAATGAATAAAAAAAAAGAATTTCCACTTTAGTAAGATCAAAGATATAAAATAACACTTTTTAAACTTATCAATATAGAAGCAAATTCTTTAATGCTAGAACATATAAGAAATATTAAAAAATTAACTGTTAAGTTTATGTATCCAAGATAGCTACCCTGAGCCCTCTGGTTAATATTTAAATTCTCAACTTCTATCAAACTTGGAAATAATTAGAAGTAAAGAGTAAAAACATGTCAGTAAAATCATTTCATTCACTTCACTACTAAATCATTTTTATTAGGAAAAAAAAATGGTATTAAACTGGAATTTACAAAAATGATACTTCTAAAATGATCACTTTGCAAACAATTCAACCTGCCACTCTTTTTCATATTTAATTAGAAATTAAAGTACTTTAAAACAAAACTTTAACATGGTTTGGTTAACTTGAAATAAGACTCATAAAATGTACCTTTTGATGTTTGTTCGGGAGTTTCGATGAGACATGTAAGTAAGAGTTCTGTGCAAAAATATTGGCTATAAAAAAAGTTTTAAAAATATTAAAATTAAATAGGTGAAATTCTAAGAAAAAAATAATATTGATGAATTTTATTGATAACTTACCGCTATAAGATTTCGAGTTCGAAGAAATCTATAGATCTGCGTTGGTTCTGGGTAACAAAAAACAAAACCCAAACATTATCTAAATTTACGTATTACTCAGGTTAAGAAAAATACCAATCTAGCTCATGTAATCAGTATATTCACCTGTTATGAAAGTCATGTACTAAATATTTACATCAAGAATATATTAGTATGCACCATAGATCAAAAGACATTCACAAAATTCATCTATATTTATTTGAAGTTTCAGATGCTCCACAGTCTTGTTCTTAAGCCTTGCATTTCTAATGTAGGTACTTTTTATTTTTTAAAAGTAATTTATTGATTTTTAGAGAGGAAGGGAGGGAGATAGAAATGTCAATGATGAAAATCATTGATCTGCTACCTCCTGCATGTCCCCCACTGAGGATAGAACCCATAACCTGGGAATATGCACTGACCAGGAATTGAACACTGACCTCCTGGTTCATAGGTGGACACTCAACCACTGAGCCATGGCAGCCAGGCTAAGGCATGTACTTTTGAAACTAATCTGTATGCAGAATTGAAAAGTAGTTACATTAATTTAATTTAGCTAATTTAAACTATAAACCATCTTCCCCCAAAAAGTAGCTGAAATAAGATAGTTGGATTTAGCAAAAGAACCACTTATTGATGCCAAATAAAAATGAAGTTCCCACTTTTTGATTAGTCTTCTTAAAAAGTTACAGTAGTCAGCCAAAACAGAATAAAACTGTTTTCTACATGTCCTAATAAGATATCATGAAAGCCAACATTAAAAGAAATCTGAAAAGCAAATTGTAAATTTTTCAATGAATATTACTTTATAGTTCATTTTTATCTATTTCACTCAATGTAAATATTATCTCAACATATAAACACTACCTCAACACATATTTTTAAAGTAATTGACAGATTCTCAAAAGCTTTTTAATGCTGAGTTTAATTAAAATTTAATTTGTTATAAAGACTCAGGTTATAGATAGAAAATATATTTTATACACAATACCATAATGTCAATTATTGACCTATTAGTATTGTTCCTTTAAATAAAGCAGTATCAAAATGAACTAAATGACTATATTATTAAATACATCAAAGCATTTAAACTTATCTGAAACGAAGGTCAATATTAGAGAAGAATCCAGTTGTTTTGTGGCTAAATCTAGTTCTTAATGACAGTTCACTTCTCCATGGTAGACACAACAGAAAACAAAATAGCTAACACTTTCTTGGAAAATTATCTTTTCAACATTTAGAAATAATTGTCCAAATATCCACTGAATCGTTAGTTTGGTTTTCTAAACAAACTAAAAGATTATATTTTAGAAGGGGTACAAATGGGTATGTTTATTGTCATTACTGAGATTCAGTTCTCCGCCGTATTTCCAATTTAAATCCTCGCCAGCTTTTGAAATTAATCAAAAACAAAAATAATGCGACTCTCCTTTAAGGTTCAATATAGGTCCCAATAAAAACGGATATTCCGTGTATTAAATCCCAATTAGAATTTCATGAAGCACTAACGAGAGAATGAAAGAAAGGTATTACACAATGTACTATGTCTTTCCAAGTACAGCTGATACCATGCCCTGAACATATGCCACGGGGAAAAAATTGTAAATAAAGACCTTCGGCGGTAGAGCGGAGTTTATTCAAGTTTTGTGAAGACAGTGCTCACGATCATCCAAAGTACAGCATTCACACAAAAGCAAAATGGAAACCAATCTCGGGGCGGCCGTAAATATTTATAGCCGTTGTGTTCCTTTTTAATAAATTCTATTGTTTGTCCCCCTTTCCAAATTAGGTCGTAGTTTCGCCCTCGAAGAACAGATCATAAAGCAGAAAACTGACACAAGAAAAGGTTCCGGAATTAAGACAAGTTAACAACGCGGGCACATTTCCGAGATGGTCTCGAGGTAAGCGAAATGCTTCCTCCACACTCCCCGTCTCAGTGTGTGTATCCGTGAAATGGGCCGACAGACGTGAAAGGTTTCAAAGCCCCAAAAGGTGCCGTGTTCATATAATATGCACACCAAGTTGGTGCGTGGGTATTTCTTCCTTTTTCTTTTTTTTTTCTAGGTGGTGGCGGTGGGTTGAGATGGGATGATGGGATGGGGTGGTGGTGATTGGGGGTGCGTCGGCATTTCAGACTCATGGCAATTCTGTCCATTTCAACAGACTCGATTTGCTCCCCAAAACCTCCCCCCGAAACCCTTGAACTTCTAGAGCATGAAAGGCACGAAAAAGACCAAGCACGAGCCTTGGGATCTGACTGCGGATCGAGACCGCACAGCCCGACAGCCCAACGGTAACCTCCACCGGGAGAAGCCGGCCCCTACCGCGAGGCCCCGGTGCCCGAGCTCCTGGGCAAACCTCCGGGGAGTCGGGACCCTCACCTGGACTTGCGATCCCACTTTCCCCCAAAAAACCCCAGATTTGGAGCCGTGACCCCGGAGGGGGGAACAGCTCCCTCCACTCCCACATCAAGTCGACTCCCGGCGAGGAAGGAGGGGGGGAGGGAGGCCAGCCCGAGTGTCCCGACCCCCCGAATGCCGGAAGAGTGGGTATTTCTGCCCTCAAAGGCTCAAACGCACTCACTCTCAAAGGCCTGGAGGAACAGCTCGTGGTCAGCCTGGACGTGCTCCATTTTCGGCTTCTTCACCGGTAACACGGCAGCCCCCGCCGCTGCTGCTGCCGCCGCCGCCGCCGCTGCCGCCGCCGCCGCGGAGGAGGAGGAGGCCGAGTAACTGCCGCCGCCGCCTCCACAGCCCCCGCCGCCGCTGGATTTGCCGCCCGAAGCCGTCGCCGCCGCCACCGCCGCCGCCGAAGCCCCGAAGCCGCCTCCCCCGGACCCTGCGCTGGGCCCCGAGCCGCCCCCTCCCCCACCGCCGTGCTTCTGAGGCGCCATCGCGGTTCCTGCCTCCTCCCCCGCCAGCTACCCGCCGGGCGGCCCCGGAGAGTAAGCGCGCCGGCTCTACCCACCACTCGTCCCCGCGGGCTCCGGCGGACCGAGGGGGGAAGGAGGAGAGAGGGGAGGAGAGGGGAAGGGAAGGGAGGAGGAGAGGAGGGAAGGAGGGAGGAAAAAAAAAAAGTGTCGCCTCCTGAGAGCCCCGCTCCGTTCCCGAAGCCGCTCACCCTAGCCCGGCCTGGCCCCGCCCACTTCCCCCCGCCCGGCGTCCTGATTGGCCGGCGGGAGCGCGCGCCGCCCGGCCGCCCATCCCGTTGGCCCGCGGATCCCCCCGTCAGTCACGCGGAGGCTCTTCTCGCGGAGGCGCGGCTTGGTTGGCCCGTGCGCGCTGCCGACCGCGGGGCCCGGCCGCCTCTTCGAACTGAATTCGCGGGAAAATTAGGGGTCGGAGCGGCCTTCCTGCTGGCCCCGGTGCATTGTGGGGAGCGAGAGAGACCCAGCGAGCGGCTTAGAGAGCGGCTTCTCGCCTTCGGAGCGTCGTCAGTCACCATCCCCAGGAGGACAGGACCCCCTGACGGGAGGCCGGCCTCCGAGGCACCGGGGGTGAGGGGCCTCTTACGGGAACTCAGATCCATGGCTGATCAGCGAGTCTCTAACTTCATAGGAAGGGACCTGCCAGGGAGTTGGGTCGCTTCTCCTTTGAGGGGTTTCCCCCGGGCAGTATCGAGTCCCCTGTCCCCTTGTCACCACGTGCCTCAAGCCACCCATGGCCGAACCCCACCCAGCAAAGCCCTTGAAGACTGGGAGCAGCCAAGGGGTTGTGGTGCGACTGGGCTCCACCAAAGGAATCGATTTTTTTAAAAACATATTTTATTGATTTTATTTTTACAGAGAGGAAGGGAGAGGGATAGAAAGTTTGAAATATGGATCAGCTGCTTCCCGCACACCTCCTACTGGGGATGTGCCCGCAACCAAGGTACCTGCCCTTGACTGGAATCGAACCCGGGAGCCTTCAGTCCGCAGGCTGACGGCTCTATCCACTGAGCCAAACTAGTTAGGGCAAGGAAGCGATTTATATGTAACAGGAATGTCCCATAAACTATAAAGCGAGGAGAATAATTTTTTGTAGGTTCTATGGGGCTTCAGGATCTGTAATGAGAGAGGTTGTGGCTGCTCAACCTCTGTTACGTTGGAAGCAAAACCTGGGTATTTTATTCCCACCGACCCACCGCCAACGGCCACCCCAGACACCGCAGGAGTGGGCAGAGGGAGAATTTCTTAGAAGTACGCACACCCTTCTTGAAAAACTTATTAATTTTGCGCCTCAAAAACTTGAGAGGGAATCCTTTGTATTGTGCTTAAAAAGGTAGATGCATAGGCCCCATTCATTCTTCAGACACAGACGGGTTTGGAGTTGAGCTAAAACTCTTAAAAGATTTGAATTTTAGGTTAGGCAATGTGACCTCTAAGGGTGTTTTTCCAATTCAAACGCTGTGATCTAGTATTACATTACAGTGAAACATTACCTTCCAAATCCCCAATCTATAAACACACAACCATTTTGTACTTTCAAAAAACACTTTTTTTTTTTTAAATGTTCGTTTTGGTCTTTATAGTCAGCTTCAAAACAATACATACAAAGCAAGTATATTTGGAATAGTTATTTAAATTGTTTGCAAAACTGGTGTCTTTGGAATGGCTACTTATCTAAATTACTGATGTTATCAAAGCATTTGCTATTTATAAGAAAGTGAGTTGTACAAATAAAACATTTAATATGAAATCTGGCATTTCAGGAACACGTCTGAAATTACATAGACCTATTGCAGACAAAAAGTTCAGAATACTATTTTGTTATATTATTTGTACATATTATCTGCGCTGGGTTTTGTTTGTTTGTTTGTTTTGTTTTTTAGGTTTCCTTCCACAAAAGATGATTTCTGTTTTAGATTTCTAGGGGGAAGAAGGGGGAAGAAAAAAAAAAAGCCCTCTCTGATTTAAAGCTACCCCCACAGAGGCTTGTGGGGTTTTAGATCGTGGTAAACTGCTGGTCTTTAGCTTTACTGGATTATAAAATGAAGTTCCATCCATTTAATCAGGGTCTGGGGCATTACATCACACTAAGCAGATCATCAACATTCCAAGTTATAAGCCAGAATGCTAATTTATTAATTAACAGCAAACATAACTGGCAAAACCACCAGTGTTCATCATCTGTACAGGATCCTCCCGTTGGGAGGGGTGTGGGGGAACAGGTATAGTCAAAGGAAAAGACCGAGTACAAGTTATCATAAATCTTTGATGGACAGAGAAATGGAGTGAAGGGAGCAGGGAGGGTCTTTAAGAACCCCATGATCGCCCTAACGGGTTTGGCTCAGTGGATAGAGTGTCAGCCTGTGGACTGAAGGGTCTCAGGTTCGATTCTGGTCAAGAGCATGTACCTTGGTTAGGGCACATCTCCAGTAGGGTGTGCAGCAGGCAGCTGATCAATGTTTCTCTCTCAATGATGTTTCTAACTCTCTGTCCCCCTCCCTTCCTCTCTGTAAAAAATAAATAATATTATATATATATATATATATATATATATATATATATATATATATATATATATTTTTTTTTTTTTTTAAGAACCCCATGGTCACCTTCTAGGCTTCAGCGTGGACAAGGTTTTAATGTCCAGTAGCCTCATGCTGGACATTAATGAAAATCCCCAGGACTGGTCATGAGGAAGCCAACCATGCTATGGGAAAGGCATAGAAGCAAATTCTCACTTTTTTATTTTCTTTATTGATTAAGATATTATAGATGTGTCCTAATTCTCACTTTTTATATTCTCATTTGTCTAGACTGTATGTAGAGCACACACACACACACACACACACACACACACACAAAAAGACAAAAAGGAAAAACCCCTTATTCCTTTAGACAAATAATTGAGGAGTTGTCTTGGTTACATGATAGTCTTCTTAATCAGATTTTGTTCTACAAGTAAAACAATTACATCACCACAGAGTTGATGACTTCTGTGGTTAGCTTATTTATTTTGTGTTCTAAGTGTGGCATGGCAACTCTTTTGAGCTTTGTGACACCAACTCACAAGTGCCCCACCTCACACTGGATTTGAATTGTTTTCTAGGGTTTTTTGCTTGTCTTTACTTTTGCCATATCTAGAGTTGATAAACTCCTAAAAAACAAAGGCGGTTGTCCATTTCTTTTCTATTTCCTAGCACAGGACTAGATATGTGTTCAAGGAGAGAGTAGCAATCATTTTAACCTTTACAGTTATAACTGTAAAGGTTAAATCATTGTCATAATGTAATCATTGTAATCATTGTCATAATGATCCTATGAAACGGGCATCATTTTCATTCACCAGGTGAGAAAGTAGTCCAGAGAGACTAAGTGACTTGCTCATTTAAGTGGCAGAGCTGTGACTTGAACCCAGAGTTTTAAACTCCAATTCCTAGGCATCTTTGCAATCAGAATAAAGTTATCCTTAGGACCTCAGGTCGACTGTTTTTAAGTTTGTTTTTTTAAAAAATGAGGACCACCTTGCTTCTCGTACAAAAAAAAAAAAAAAAAACAGCTCTGGCTGGTTTGGCTCAGTAGATAGAGCATCTGCCTGCAGACAGAAGGATCCCAGGTTTGATTCTGGTCAAGGGCACATGCTGGGTTGTAGCTCTATCCCCAGGATAGAAGCATGCAGGGGCAGCCGATCAATGATCTTCTCTCATCATTGATGTTTCTATCTCTCCCTCTCCCTTCCTCTTTGAAATCAATAAAAATATATTTTAAAAACAAGCAAAAATAATTTTGTACTCATCCCAAGTGTGCACTCTTTTATTAATGCCCCCACTTTGCCTTCCACAGGCTTCTGTGATGGGATTTTTAATGTTTCTTGTGTCATGGACCCCTTTGGCAATTTGATGAAGACTATGGACCCCTTTTCAAACATACACATAAATAAAATTTATCAGATTATAAAGGAAGCCAATAATAATTAAATATAATTACCAAAAGAGTAAAAAATAAAGTTGTGATATAGTAATATAAGTGCATCTTTTTTCACTGTACCAAATGTGATCTAGCAGCAGGTCAGTCTGATAACTATCATAATTTCAAAGTAGTTATGAGGGCAAATAATATTTTAAGATACCTGCAATAACTAACTTCATATAGAAATATCTAATTTCTCTTGGAAATAAAACCACAGGTATTGCTAACACTACTGTGATATGTTATTATATTAGTAGTTAAAGGAAAAACTAAATTTCAGTTGGAAGTTAATGTAATTAAAGATTTAATTTTTTTTCTCATCTAAATTCATGTATTACCTGAATCAAAGTCAAGTTAGCAACCCCTGCATTATAGCACCAAGTCTTTTTTTCTTTCTACTTCATTTTCTACTTCTTAGATGTATACCACTCATTCAATGGATTTTGAAGAATAAGGACACCAGTGCACAAATATAAGTAATGGTGATAACTATTGCATGTTTACTATGTGCCATGCAGTATTTTAGATTTTTTAATATTTTGACTCAGTCCTTACACAACCCTTTAATGTAGCTAACTTATTATCCCCATTTCATGGATGAAGAAACAAAGGCAAGATCAAGTGTCTCACTCTTTTTAAAAAAATATATTTTACTGATTTTTTTACAGAGAGGAAAGGAGAGGGACAGAAAGACAGAAGCCGATGAGAGAGAAACATCGACAAGCTGTCTCCTGCACACCCCCCAAGGGGGTTGTGCCCACAATCAAGATAAATGCCCTTGACTGGAATTGAACCTGGGACCTTTCAGTCCGGAGGCCAATGCTCTATCCACTGAGCCAAACCGGTTCTGGCCAGAACTCTCACTCTTGACCATGATTCCATGAAACTAAAGAGTTTTAGAGACATAAGATATTGTACATATTGTTTCTAAATCAAGAAAGATCAACTTCTGATGCACTGGAATTAATAATTATCAGTATTGAATACATTGCTGAAAATAA